TAAACCCTGCATAACTAATACCTGCATAACTAAACCCTGTATAACTAATACCTGCATAACTCTAACCAGTAACCAAACGGCCCCTTAGTACATTCAAACGTACTAACGCATACTCTATGCCTACATGATGTCACCATGTAGGGACCGGAGCACCGCTTGACCCTCCTCTTCTGCGTGGCTAATACGATTTTCTATCGAGGTTATTGGTGAGTGCTCCATTCCGGGGACGTTGCTTATGATCTTTTGCTATGTATAAGACTTTTTCTTTTTAGTTATGTTTTGTCTATGAGGGTGAGCCCGGTAGTTTGTCTTGGCCCCCACTAAGTACTCATGTTTAGATGTGGTGTTGGACAAGTTGTGTATTATGCTTGAGCTTGACTCATCTATGGTATTTATGTATCATTCCTTTATTTTTTCTTCCTCCATTAGTCCCGATTTCCCCCTTGATTATGCTTATCGCTTATGGTCATTTTAATTGCTTCCGCGACCAAGGATGTGTAATGATACGCTATGAGGCTTGTTTGGGGTTCCTTCGGGTTCCCCATTCGCCGGTCACGTCTAGGCCCTAGGCTTGGGTCGTGACAACCAATAAGTCCCCTATACATGGTTTGATTGATCTCCACGCCATTTTTATCTCTATCAAGTTTCACACTTGTGCTTATAGGAGTATCCAGCACCTTTGCCTCAAGAAGATTAAATTTCTTGAGCAGCTCTTTGATGTACTTCTCTTGGCATATTGAAATGCCTTGGGAGGTTTGTTTGATCTTCAAGCCTAGGAAGACAGTGAGTTCTCCCATCATGCTCATTTCAAACTCACTGCTCATCAGATCAGCAAATTCCTTGCAAAGTAAATCTCTTAGTTGTACCCCTGCACCACAAGCCTTGACTTGTTTCTAGTAATGGTTTAATGCTCATCAAGTTTGTTTATGAAGTCCCATCTTATTCCAATAACTATTCTGTTGATAGGTCGGGGGACCAGGTGTCACACTTTGCTCCTCTCAAACTGGTGGAGTACTTCTTGAATTGATATTACCCAATCTGCATCCTGTAGAGCCTCATTGATATTCCTTGGTTCAATGGATGACATAAGGCTGAATATGCAACTAGATTTCTTGTCCTGGATCTAGTTTGAATTCCATAGTCAAGTGGAGAGATGAGATTGTCCAATATATGTGAGGATTAATGTTTTCATCCGGACTTTCTGATCAACTCTTTTTCGATTTCAGAATCAAATTCAGTATCATCATCTTCATGATTTTGAGATGGAACCTTCTGGGTAGTATCAAAGGGACCAGGTGCTCTTGTGAGATCTGCAGCAATTTCCTTTGCAACCTGTTTGTTTCCGGGGTTTTGGATATCCTTGTCTTCCCTTTCCTAGATCAGCTCTTCCATCTCATGGTCTCCCTTTGATCATCAATTTTCTCAGATTCATCGAATGTCACATAAATGCTCTCTTCGACACATAACGTTCTTTTGTTAGACACTCTGTAGGCCTTGCTGGTAGAAGAGTATCCTACAAACACACCTTCATCACTTTTGGCATCAAACTTACCCAGGTCATCCTTTCTATTATTTAGTACAAAGCATTTGCACCCAAATAGCTTAAGGTGAGCAATTGAAGGCTTTCTGTCGTTCAACAAATCATACGGTGTCTTCTTTATCATAGACCTGATCTATTAGTAACAAAGCATGTTGTGTTGACTGCTTCTGCCCAGAAGTTCATAGCCAGCCCTGAGTCAATCAACATAGTCCTTGCAATATCAACCAGAGTTCTGTTCTTTCTCTCAACCACTCCGTTTTGTTGAGAAATTCTTGGTGCAGAAAAATTATGATTGATTCCATTTCCAGCACAAGAACTTTCAATTTGAGAGTTCTCAAACTCTGTCCCATGGTCAGATCAAATACTAACAATCTTGCAGTTGACCTTTAGTTGAATTGCTTTGGTAGAAGCAATCAAAATTCCGGCAGTCTCATCTTTTTTCCGCAGACACATATTCCAGGTGTACCTGGAGAGATCATCAATAATCACAAGAATATATGTTTTACCTCATCTGCTTTGAATTCTAACAGGTCCACACAGATCCATGTGCAGAAGTTCCAAAGGTCTGGTAGTACTCACACCCTTATTTGCCTTGAAAGAAGATCTTGTTTATTTGCCTTTTGCACAGGCGTCATAGACTTTGTAATTTGAGAACTTCAGCTTTGGTAGTCCGCGGACCAGGTCCCCTGCAACAAGTTTGTTAAGTAATGAGGTACTTACATGACCCAGTCGTCTATGCCAAAGATTTGCATCATTAGTTTGAGCACTCAGACATGACAAGCTGTCTCCTTCAATAGAATCAAGATCAGCAACATAAACATTCTTGACTTGTTTTGCAGACATTACAATTTTCTTAGTTGCACAGTTTGTAACCACACACCCTTCAGACATGAACTTGACTTTATTTCCCTTATCGTTAATTTGAAACACACTTAAGAGATTAAACTTTAGACCATCCACATAGTGTACACTGTCTATGGAATGATTTGCAGTTCTTCTTATCTTGTCAATACCAAGAATAAAACCTTTCGTTCCACTGCCAAATGACTTACCACCACCTTGGTGTGCTTCCAAAGAGAGGAAGTTTAGAGTATTTCCAGTCATATGCCTTGAGCATCCACTATATATGTACCAACATTGACTGCTCCCTCTTTTTTGCACAAGAATCACTTATTAGACTTAGGAACCCACTTCAAAACGGAGTTCCCAGAAACTGTCAAAAGGTTTAATGAGAAACCTTCCTGTCCATGGAGGTAAAATGTTCTTGATAAAACGATAACGGGGACCAGGTCCCTTATGTCCCTTTTTACCATCATTTTCAGATCTAACAAATTTCACATGCCTTTCTTTAGCTTTTCTCAGACTCTCACATTTCTCTTTCAAAAAACCATTTCGACCACAATGAGTGCACAAAAGGTTGTCAGATATAGACACATATTTGCTATGAGGATTACATGGGGGTTCTATTGGTCTGTGTCCCAACCCTTTCTTTCCATTGAAACTCTGATTAGACAGATTAGAGAGTATCTTAGAGGAGTCAGTCCATTTTAGAGAGTGGCTCAACTCCTTCTTGACCTTACTCAGATCCTTTCTCAGTTGAGAATTTGTTTCAAGAGAAGCAACTAACTTGGACTCAAGGATTTTAAGCTTTTCTTCCAGTTCTTCCTCAAGGATGCTAAGGTTTCTCTTTCCACCTACTGAGGTACCTGGTCCCTCACTGGGTTCCAGACTATCAGTCTTGAGGATACCTATCCTGATACTCAGTTCAGACATTTTAGCATTAAGAATTGAGTTTTCATTTTCGCACATACTCAACTTTTCACGCAACATCAAATTTTTAGAGGTCAATTCATCAACTGAGTCAATTAATATAGCAGCAAGTTTTCTCAAATTTTTAATAGGAAGAGAGTATAAATCATCTTTAAGATCAAGAAGAGTTATCTCATTTTGATCCTCTTCATCATCGGATTTAGCCATTAAAGAGAAAATGGTGTTGAAGACATTTTCATCATCTTCAATAGCCATAATTGAAACATCTTCATAACTTTATGTATCTTCTTCTGACTCACTTGAATCATTTCCCCATACATCAAAGGCTTTTCTCACCAACTGATCAGCATGAGCTTTTCTCCGAGCATTGTCTGGGACTAGGTCCTTCTTGCGAGGTCTGAAGTCCTGAATTTCCTGCTTCTGGCTGGGACAGTCCCTAATAAAATGACCAGGTTTGCCACATTTATGACAAAGTTCATTTGTGTTTGCTGCTCTGCTGGTCGAAGCCTTCTTTTGAAAGACGTCATGTTTCTTGATGATTTTCTGAAACCTTTTAGTAACATAGGCCATTTCATCCTCCTCCTTAGTCGCATCATTTTGTGAGTTTTTCAGAGCAACAAATTTCTCATTCCTTCCCTCCTTCATGTTTGTCCCCTGCTTTTTGTTCAGCTCGTAGGTCTGGAGATTTCCAATCAGCTCATCCATGGAAAGTGTCTTCAGATCTTTTGCCTCTGTTATAACATCAACTTGCTTTCCCATGACTTGGGAAGAACCTTGAGAATCTTGCGAACTTGTTTGCTTAAGGGAATGGGCTCACCTAAGCATCTTAGTTCGTTGGTGATGGAAGTGAATCTTGAGTTTATTTCAAAGATAGTTTCACCTTCCTACATAAAAAAATTCTCGTATTGAGTCGTAAGAATATCGACCTTTGACTCTTTTACTCGTTGTGTTCCCTCATGGGCTGTTTGGAGACAGTCTCATATCTCTTTGGCTGATTCACAGGCAGAAATTTGGTTGTACCCATCGGATCCAATCCCACACACTAGAATCTTCTTTGCTTTATAGTTCTTCTCTATCTTTGTCATATCCATCTCATTGTACTCCTTTCTAGTTTTGACAATTGTAGTGGTGAGCTCTCCATCCTTCACCTCATTTGTATCCTTTGTAGGAATATATGGTCCATCAAGAATGATGTCCCACAGCTCAGTATCCTCAGCGTTAATGTAGTCATGCATTCGATTCTTTCACCAGCCATAATATTGACCATTAAAATGCGGTGGCCTAATAGAAGACTGACCTTCTTCCATATTAGGTGGAACAACCATTCCTTTTGGATATTTTCTTTCTTAGTGTTAACCAAATCGAAAAGTACTGCTCTGATACCACTTGTTGGAATGTATGCATCCACTAGTCTAGATGGGACCAGGTCCTCAGCACAGTTACAATAACAAAAATAAACAAAGTGCTGAAAGTAAAGATTGCACAACAACTTTACATGGAAACCTCCTTGCTCAAGGGAGTAAAACCACGACCTGGCCTGCCAGGACTTTTCAAACTACTTTCACTAATCTTCTCAAAGCAAAAGTAAAATCCAGTTTACAAAATGAGATTAACCTACTAATCTCCACGCTAAGCAATATATCCTATTACTTAGACGAGCCTAAGCAGATACAACACTGCCCACTAAGCTATCACCCTTAGATAACTTAGACTTTGCTAAGCGGATACCACACCGCCCACTAAATCAACTAGCTCCTAGATGACTTAGACTTTGACTGAGCAGATACAACACTGCTCACTAAATCGGCTAACTCTAACCGACTTAGACCTTTCCACACATAAACAAATATCTGAATCATTTATAGACTAGGAACATATTTACAATATACGCATGAAAGTAAAACTCCTAAGACACACTCAGATGCTTGCAGCTTGATCAGGTCCTTGTTGTGCTTGCTGGAGAATTCTTCACCAAAACGGTCTTTGCTTGTATACTTGAGAAGTTTCAAGATGCAAAAACCTTTAAAATGATAGACACAAAAATCAAACTCAACAAAGATGCTTTAGCACTTTATAAGATCCTTTTGTTGAGTGTGAGTATTGTTCTACCTTGAAGATGGCTTTTTCCTTTTAAGCTTGTGAGTTTTTGTTTGTCAAAATCTTAAGTTTATGTTTTGTTGGAAGAGACTATATTAAAATGAACACAAACTCCTTGGGACCGCCCATTGGCTGAGAGCCTGCCTCTCTGGAAGGATGTGCACCTACCACATCAGAAGTGGCAGCTTTTCTGACAGTTGTCGTGTCGTCCTTTCACATCGCAGTCCTGCAGGGACCAGGTCCCTTGCAAACTTCTCTTAGTAAGTTCTTGAGAATACGTGTTGGCTCTCTCCTTTTGAATGAATGAATTAGTTTGTTGTTTTTCCTTGGATATATTTAGACATGAAAAGTTATTATCCAATGAACAAGCAACCTCATCGCTTTTGATTGGTGGAGTACTCTGCAGCTTCACCAACTTTCTGACGCAAACAGCTTTCCAGCTGTACAGCACTTTGACCACTGGACGAGTATTCATACTCTGCAGAGGACCAGGTCCCTGCACTTGTGAGGAGATCATCAAAACATCAAGGAACATAAGAACTTATCAATATTCTTCTAAAAAAAAGAAATATCATTTTTAATATCCATTAAAAATATATACTGTAGTATCTTTTCTGTCCTTAAAAGAAAAGAGTAATATACTATTTTTTTAGTTTTTCTCAAATTTGCTCCAAAATATATTTATGACTATATATACAGAAATATTCCTCCAGAAGACTAATTTGGACCATTGTTTTGTGCTTGCGTAAAATGTCAAGACCAATAACAAGTGTTGGTTGTGTCAACTTCTTGACAAATGAAAGTTACATTTATATATATATATATATATATATATATATAAACTAGTTAATGTGTATACCTACTAGTACTAAATAAGTCCATTTACTTCTAGATGACATAATTTTACCTTACAGATTAATTTAGAATTTTACTGTTGTTAGTTTTTTCTTATTTATATGGTTACATTACATGTATATTTATTTTGACAGACATATGTTGAATAAATAATTTCCCTTTTTTAACATTTAATATATATATATTTACTCTTTAATTAGAGAGTCCACTAATATTTTCTCTTTTTTCAAATGTTTTTACTTTCCTTATCTTCTTTGTTTCCGTGTTCTCCTCTTCTTCCTTTTTTCCTGTTTTTTTTCGTCCACTAGCCATAACTTCACTCAAGAATTTTTGAAAATGTTACTTACTATAACCAAGTTTTTCCATTTTTTTTCCTTGCAATTCTCTGCAAAAAAAATAAAATAAACTATCTTATTTCTTAAATTAGCGCATCATTTCATTAATTAGCTACTATACAACATAATTATTTGTAACATAATGAATAATCCTATATTAGAAAAGTTTCAAAATTACAAATAATAAGATGGAAATTTTGTTTGCTACCCATATTTTCATGATTATAATTATTTCTCTTTCCTCATGAAAAAGGAGACAATTTATTTAACAAAAAAATAAGTGCAAAAGAGCAATAAAATGTAAAGTAAAAATATATATTTAATGAATATATCAAACACAAAACTGCCATAATTATTATATGATACACCAATAATATGTATTCATTATGCAAAAATGCAACCTTGCTGTTTTCTTGGTTTTTTTATATTAACTTTTTTCATATGTAATATGATTGTGATAGTGCTTAAAAGAGAATTGTCGGGTAGTATACCACAAATATAATAAATTATAGCTGAAAATAAAATGACAAAAATGAATAAAAAATATATTCAGGCTGGGGCGTGGATATCTCGCTCTCTTTAAGTAGATTCAAGCCCCGATCCAGCAGTATATATCTTGACTTGTCTCCTCCAAGATACAACAGTCTAACAACGTCGTACAACTCAAGCAACTCCGGATTAGTTGAAGAGCCCAAAGCTCCATATAAGAACACCTTTCTTCAACATATAATTACTCTCTTTTGTATAGTGAATATAGTTGAAGATTTAGAATATTTTTCTTTTTTCTTAACTCTCTTTTTCACTACACTAATCTCAATATATTTTCCCACACTTCTCATTTTTTTTGAGATTATTTCTCTTCTACTTTTCAACCTAAAGGAAGACCACTATTTATAGATGATGAATTCTCCTTGCAATGAATATGAAGATAATGGGTAGTAAATTGACAAATGAATGATCCAAATTTTACATAAGTTACAAGACTGATTAGGTAAAATAATGGGCGACAGGGCGAGTAGGTTACTAATAACTAATGACCACATTATACCACAATTAATAAAAGTAACGGGGATATATAATGCCTTCACGGAACAAATCAAATGCTCCGCAACAAGTACCACAAGCGTGCAACTCATTTGAGAATTAAGCACTTCAAAATATTATTAAAATGTTTAAACTCCAACAAGAATAAATAGTATTGCATATCAACAATTAAATTGGCTACCAAGTACCAACCACATTACCACTATTACATATTATTTGACAACAATAGAAAAATCATATAAAATTTTAGTAGAAATAGAGGAGCAAAAAAGTAATATCACGTGGAATTTTTGGGGTAGGAAATGATGGAGTGGAGAAAATAATTTTTTGGGATAGTAATACTTTAGTCTTTAGTTTTTAACTAATATTAATAGTTAATTTTTATTAATGTGGAATGCCATGTGGCAAGTTTTCAGTCTTCATTGAATGTGTCGATCAACATTCTATATAAGGAGTTGATTTGCATTCTTGTCTGCCAGGTAGCTAAGCGAGAAGCTGTGATCGAGGAAGCCACGTGAGACAGTTCGGTTCTCTAGACCCATCTACCACCTTGGAGAAGGGGTGCGGTGTTGAGATTGTTGAATCAGAGAAATGAGTTGGTATGGAAGAACTGCTGCGCCGTGGGAAATCCTTTTCTATACAAGTTCTCGAACTCCAATTTTTTTCTTCGGAGCCGTTTGTTTTTCCGTCCCCCCCGGTGTTTGCTCGCGTAGAGGACTGAAAATAAAAGAGAGAGTGCATTACACACACTCTACTTCTCAAGCTAATAAGTGATAGTTTAGGTATGAAACTCACACTCCCAATAATTTAGTTATGAAACTCAAAATAAAAAATAGTTTAAATGTGTTTTTGACACTTGTCTCAAATATTTTTTTAAAAAAAGTCTAATATAACTAAATATCTTCGAAAGTCTCATAGACCAAAGATATGAGAGAATGATTTGTTATTTCTTTCTCTGTGTTATAGTATTATCTATCACATGAATAATGAATTATCAAGAATTGATATATATAACCAATAGAAGTTACTAATGAACATTCACGTTCAAAGGATTTGTAACATGACGAGATTCAAATTATTTTACTAGTGAACCGAGAAAGGCATAGTTACAGACTTCAGAGTTTTTTTACCTTCATTTTAGACACATCCCAAAACCTTGTTTGGATGGTTGTTACTTGTTATCCGCTATATTGTATTATTAGTTTAAATATAATGTTTGCTTTGATTGTTACTTAAATTCTATTATATTGTATCTTTTAAATCTATCGTTGGGTAATAACGAAAAGACTCGTTTTATGTAACGATTGATTTGATGTGATCGTATCGTTACATTTATATTTTCTTTTCATTTTATTTTTATTTATTATTTAATAATTATATTTTATTTTTGATCCTATCTTTTCATAATAGCTCTATTCCATACCTTAC